GACAGTGGCCTTACAGCCCTAGGCTGGCTCTTGCAGGGACCCCCTCAGGCATTGCAGGGCTAGGTTTCCAGCCTCTGTGTAGCCACTTTGTGACCAGCAGAAACAAGAGCTGCCAGCACAGGTCCCTCARCTCTCTGGGGACTTCCCAGGCAGGGAGGAAGCTGGTGGCTTTGTGCCCAGCTTGCTGTGGTGCAGTGTTGTGCTAGGYTGATTCCTACCCAAACTCCTCAAAAATGTACTCAGAGGTGTGGGGGAAGGAAAAGGGGACTTTTTTTTTTTCACCCACACCTTTTTCTGCAGTGCAGTTTTGATTCAGGCAAAAAGAGAACCCAGTTCCTGCAGTGGGATTTGCGTGTGTGTTGTACACTGAGACAGCTGAAGCTGTGAGCAAAAAGCACGCATAAATAAAGGCTTCCTCCCTGTGCTTTATATAATCAGAGTGGGTGATGTCATTGGGAGCCAGAGAGGAGAGCAGGCTGTGAAATTACAGCCCTCTGCAGCCAGGCAGAGCCAAGTGCAAGGGGGGGCTGCACAGAGCAAGAGCCAGGCTCCCCTCTGATAGAAGCTCAGGACAGAGGGCTTTGTAGGGGAGCTGGGGGTAGAAGTAGATAATCCAAATACAGTCAGATAATCCAAATACGGTGACAAGCTTTAGCAGAGGCACAAAGGGAAAGCAGGGAGAGCAGCGGGTGCCCAGTGGGCAGCAGTGGGGCTGCCRTTTCAAGGGCCAGCACTCCCTTGCTCCACGTACGCCCATCTACAGTTAGTTGTGAATCTACTGGCAGGGCTATGGTGCTGCTGGGCTGTCTCATCCKTTTTCTACTTCAGGCTCCTGTCCCACTGCAGCTCCTGGCAGAGAAGAGAGGGCATCCTTGCTCTGCTTGCCCTCCACATCCCACAGGAACTTGATTCTGGTCTCCTTCTGGCCCCACACAGGAGAAGAAGGAGAAGCAGCAGAGGGGCTCTGTCCTAGCCTTGAGTGAAACAGAACAAGAGGTGATCCTCAGCCCTTCAAGACAGGGCTTGTGTTCGGCTCTAGTTTTGTGAAGCCTCTTAGGTGCTTTTTTGGCCATCCTGATGCCCCCCAACATGGGAATCTCAAGCAGAAGTTTTCCCTCTTAYTAAGCTGAGCAGGAAGAGGCTGTTCCTTTGGGAAACTGCAGAGCCCCCTTCTTCCACATCCTTCACAGGTTTCTTCTTCAGCACATCAGGCAGCTACAATGTGCTTAGGATGCTGCTGTGAGAGCCTGATTTTTTCCAAGCCCACTTAGGTAGGAGGAAGTACTCCAGCTTCTCCCATCTCCCCTGCAGCTAGCATGCAAAAGCTTCGGGCTCTGCTGAAACTGGAATTCTCCTTCTGTCATCCTCTGTCTTCCTCAGGATCGAAGCAGCGAGAGGCAGCAGCTCTTYGCACCAAGCCCGCCTTGTTTCTCTGTTATATAACAATATGGGCTTTTAGACTTGTTTTTCCAGATATTGGCAGATGCGTCAAATATTGGCATAATCCAGTGGTTTACATGGAAAGCCGTCTGGCTCTGTCTGGAGGCTGCACAATGCTGGTATTTTCATTGAATACAAGAGCCTGCAGCATTGTCAAAGCCAGGTTGCAACAAAGTCCAGGTAAACAAGGGGAAAAGACACATGGTGGCATGACCTGTGGAATTACAGCTGCCCAGGACAGCTCCAGGACTTGATAAGAAAGATTAATGGGTTTGCAGTTGCTTTCTTTCTGAAATGGTCTTTTAGCTAAGCTTTCGTGACGCTTTTCAAATAATCACAAACTCATTTAGGATGAAAAACACCTTCAAGACCATCGAGTTCAACTTTTGACCAACCRCCACTTTGTCAGCTAGACTGTAGCCCTCAGTGCCATGTCTAGGCCACTGAACAGGGACTCCACCTCCTCCAGGACTCTGGAGTTTTATTTCAGATGCACCTATCAGTGTGTGAGACCTCCAGTGTGTACTCTGTGGTTTAAGAACCCATCCTGGTCCACTGGGGCTGTTGGAAGTTAAGAGAGGTCAGGGACTGTAATCGGGTTATATTTTAAAAATAAAATGGTAAGGAAGGTGTTGGAACACTGCGTAAGGGAAGCAGCTGGGGAGGTTGAAAGTGATGTGCTCACATGCCAGGACAGTTTGTAGGCTTGGTTGCTCTTTCCTATCCCACTGTGGCTCAGCTTGAGTGCAGAATAGGAGGTAAATCCAACAGCAGCACAAAAACAATTGCTTTGGTCAAACCTCTTCCAAACCTGCCCTCTGGTCAGCCAACACCACCTGCCCCTGCAGTGTGCTTGCAGCCTGACTTGTGCTATATGCCACTGTGAGCTTAYCAGCACATACCACACCTGTATCCCCGGAAGGTGTCCCCTCCTGATGCCTGCTGTGCTGGCACAGGCCATCACCCTTTGGCCAGTGGAGCCACGGGCAGGAGTGGCTTCTCTGAAAAKGGTCTGCATGAGCTTAGGACAAGCAGTAATCTTCTGCAGTCCACCTTGGGGTCCTGGGGCACAATGGCAAGTTTTTCAAGTTCAGGGTTTTATTACATGGCTGAACCTTTACCTGTAGCTTTCAGGTGCTTAAAAGGGTTGATCTTGTTCAGTCTGCACATAGCCCAGCTTTTGATATGGCAGATCAGTGCCGCCCTTCTGATTGTTGTCTCAGCAATGCAGCCAGTGCTTGCTCCTGTCCGAAGCTGATCACTGGTTCCAGGAACTGCAGTTCCTGGTGYGGCACCTTCCCAGTTTCTGATAAAACACAGTGCTGAGCATCAGCCCAAAGCTTAGGCTGTAGCTGTGTTGTCCGTTTCTCTCTGCGTGCAGAGACTGTGATACCTGTGCCACTGGTTAGATGTTGATTCCCCAAACTTTTTTTTCCTGTTACACAGATTATTTGGTTTTCACCATGGGCTGGGAACTGCCACCAGGTCTRTGGCATGTCTTTATAGTAGAAGCTTCGTAGCAGTCTGGTCTTCCGTAGAGCCCCCAGATCTGAGCTCTTCTCGAGCTCTGTTTTTATATGGGGCCTCTCTGTAGGTGAAGTGTGTGGCTGGAGCTTGTATTTGTGCTGTGAGGGGACAYGTGCTGCTCTGTGCTGCAGCTTGATGGCTGTGCTCTGACATCTCTGACTCAGTGACTTGCCTGTGTGGCCATTCAAGAGGTTTGTGGCATATCCAAAAATGGGTTTCAAAACCCAGAATGTCTTTGATCACAAGATCCCTCCTCATTGCTCTGTAAGAAGTCAGCATCCAGCCTCCTGAGGGAGGACACAAACTGTAGTGGCAGTGTGAACCCGCAGTACATTTTCATTGCTTGCCCYAAGGGTCATCATGGGGCACAGGGCAATCACCTGTAGTGGGTGGACACAACTTCTGCCCAAGCTCTGTGTTGAAAATCGGTTTCCAGRTAGAAAAAATCCCATGTCAGCCATACTGGTTTAATGACAGTAGTGTTTGCCTTAGAGCAAACTGAGAAGTGAGAGATGAGATTGATGTGACTACTGTTCTTTCTGTTTGATTTTTGGATTATGATTTCCCTTTCCTTACTCCTCTATTTGTTAATGTTTAATGGAAAACACATTTTCTTCAAGGCCCTTGCTGGTCATATGCAGCCCTGTGATTCTTATTGAGACAGAATGATGGACCCTTCGTAAAGCGATTTATGGTAGAAACTGTGAGGAGCTCACAGCTACAGCACGGCCAGTGARCACTCCTCTGTGCTGACAGTTCATCAGCAAAACCCCTGACCCTTCCACCCTTAATCATCCTTGCTTGTCACTGACATAATTGCCTGATTACAGACTCCTCTCCCCCACCCCTTTCAAACTGGGTGCAATAGTGCATTTGAAAAACAAATGGAAATGAACTGTCCATGCTCTTTTTTTTCTTTCTTTTTTTTTTTTTTTTYTTTCCCCTGCATTGAGATGGATCAGGCTAAGATTCAGTTTCTTTGTGCATGAGCAGGGGCTGGGATAGGCTTTCAGGACTCTTTTGCACTGGTGTTTCTTGCATGTGAATGGTAAAGCTGATGTCATTGTGTTATTGATTGGGATGACAACTTYGGACATAAATCATTAATGTCTGGGAAAGAGAGAGGGAGGGGAAAAAGGCAACCCACACTCGATAGTTTTCCATAAATCTGCTGTTTGTCCCTGCATACGTGCTCCAGAAGAGGAGACAGTGGGAACAGTTTGCCTCTGCAGCCTGAGGACAATGTGCTTTGCACYGCTGCCTGAACCATTTACCCCAGAGCATGTTGCCATATTCTGCAGAAAATGGTTCATCTCACCAGCAGTGCTGTTGTGCTGGAGCCTGTCTTTGTAGATGTGAGCCAAGGTCAGAAGTCTGCCYGGGGGAAGGTCTTGGGTTCTCTCATTCCTACAGACCTTGCACCCCTAGYAGCATTTCAGACCTGGGCCCAGGAAGGAGTAAGAGTGCAGCTCTTGGTAACTACTATCCCTCTAGCTCCTTTAATTGACAGCAGGGATTGTTTCAGTGTTTTGAACTAACCATTTTGCTCACTAATGATCTTAATTTCATGCAAAAACAAAGTGTTCAGGTCAGTCATAGCAAATGTCCCTGAGCCAACAGTGAACGAGCCTGCCGTGGGTAACAGTTGTTCAAAACAGCTTTCACAAAAGTTCTTCTCAGCAAAACAGACAGCAAATAGCTCAGAGAGCATGGAAACCCATGAGATACTTGTACCATTTTCCTGTGTGCCTTTGCCCCTGCACAGAGGTCATCCAGATGAGTCAGATTATCAGTTCAGACAGCAGGGAAATAAACAGTGTCTGTCAGAGGTTAGCGATAATGCAAGTATTGGTGAGCAGCTGATGTTTGAAGTGTAAATAGTTCAGCCGCAGTGTGTCCTGGTACCTGAGGGGAATCTTGTGATGCACGGAAACAGGGAAACCTAAAAACTGCCTTGTAGGGAGGCAGTAGTGAAAGAAATGACATTTCCTTGCAGAAAGCATTGCTCTGATCGTCCTGTTCTTCCCTTGCAGCCGAGCTCATCTCCGCCTGTGTTTAGAACGCTTAAAAGTTCTGATACCGCTCGGACCAGACTGCACCCGGCACACCACGCTTGGGCTGCTCAACAAAGCCAAAGCACATATCAAGGTAAGAGCACTTGGGAAGTACAATTTAGTTGCTCATTCTTGCTGCCTAGAGCTAACTCTAGTTAAAAAAAAAAACCCCGTACAAAAAAAAAACCCCGTAAAAAAGAGCAAGCTAGCCTTGCTCCCTTGGTTAACCATTTGTCATTGCTACAAGCCACATTGTTGGAAGAGTCCRTAGTGAACTCCTTAACTATGAAGATGATGGATTTGAGAACAAGTATGTTGTTCTGTATTGTGATTGTTGGTTGACAGCTGCATCTGTTTAAAGGAAAGCATACCTACTGTTGAATGACTGCATTTTGATAGGAAATGCCGTTTTTTTCTGATGTACTAGTGAGTTTCCACTGCCAAAGCATTAGCACAAACCACAAGTGTGAGACAGGGTTGGCTTGCTTAAGTTCCATGTGTGAACCTTCCAGTTAGTCCRGTGCTCTTCCAGCTTCACTTTTGGCAAAGTGAAACATAAAAGKAAAATACAGCATTGTCCGTATCTGGGAGAGGCTGAAATACTTTGTTGCAAGTCAGGATATAGAGAGGGAAGATGGGTGATGAGGGAGGAAAAGTGCTGCCAAAGGGACAGAGTTCGCCTGAAATGACTCCTCCTTATGCAATGTGCTTGTCCTAGGAAACAAAGAACAGTGCCCTGGTAGATTTCCCAGCTGTGATCAAAGAAATCTGTAGTAGGTTATGTAAATCACTCRCTGAATAGAAAACTGTTTCTGAGAAATCCTTCTAAACCATGCAGTAAGGAACACAGAACTACCAGGGCAGGTTTTTATGTTGGAGCAGATMGTAGCAGACCCTGGAGTGGTTTGGTTCAGGGGATTGAGGCCCCTACGTGGGCAGAGGCGGTAATGCAGGTGTCCAATCCCGGCTGGAATGACCCACAAACTGCTGCAATTCACAGCGTTTCCCTGGAGAGGCTCTGTCCTCGGAGACTATTTGTTCTAATGGGTATGATTTRTCAGGACCTGAGAGGTGGAAAGATGTGGGGAGATGGCATTGTGCTYAGAGGCTGTGAGGCAGCTTGGTTCAGGGCACTTGCAGTTTAAATCCTTCTGATACCTGGGAAGGTCTAAGCAAGGCAGATGGCAGGGCTGGTGAGGTGGAGGGAAGGAAAAAAGGATGAAACTAATTATTGAGTTATATTTGATCATGTCAGAAACTTGAAGAGGCTGAGAGGAGAAGCCAGCACCAGCTTGAGAATCTGGAACGAGAACAAAGATTCCTAAAGAGAAGACTGGAACAACTACAGGGTCCTCAGGAGATAGAGCGAATACGAATGGACAGCATTGGATCTACCATTTCCTCGGATCACTCAGACTCGGAGCGAGGTGAGTGTTGCTGAACCAGCATAGAATTCCCAGGCCTCTGAAGTGAGAGTATGAGATTCATCCATTTCTTATCTTTCAGCTTCCCCTCCTTATGGCTTTTGATGTTTAGGTTTTTGATTGTACTCACACACAAGCACATAGACACACATAGATGTGGAGAGTTTAATATTTTGCATGAGTTCTAAGTCCGGAAGAATAATCGTTGCTGTCAACTTAAGCTCATTTCTGTGGCATTGAAAGTGATGGTAAAGTAGAGATACCTATTGTGTTTTTTGGTCTACTGAATCTCTTGGCAACACAAGGAGGAAAATGTAAGAAGATATAAATGGGAATGGAGCAGTTGCTTCACACACCTACCCCCTGCCCCCACTACCTTTTTGCCCCCAAACGTCCCATAGAGTTCATATCCTCAGTCAAAACTGGCTAGAAATAAATATCAGAATGGTAACTGAATTCAGATAACTTTATCTTTTTAAATATCCCTGCAGTGGAGAGAACATTAGGCACAATAGATGGTTTGATATTTTCTTGGTTTGATAGACCAAAAGATGCTGCATAGTTTGGGTGTGAATCTGTAGTTTAAAACAAAAATYCTTTGGAAAATTCCTTAGCAATATGGGAACCAACATACCTAGTTAATTAGATCTTTGCTTTTTAAGTCTTTTTCAAAAACAAAATATCTGTTCCAAAATCCACACATCCAAAATGTGTGAGAGTAACCCAGATTCCCATGGTAATGCATTGCAATTGTGTGTGGTCTTGGCTATGGCAGTATAATGTCAAAGAAGCAGCATGTTTAGGGGTAACTTCATGGTCCATTTTCTCTCTTGCWTTCAGTGTTATCTGTKGGKTTTTTTTCCTAACACYGGGRTATTAGAGCTCCAAAGAAAGAGCTAGTGGGGCRAGCTCATTGTGTGGAGTGGCTCACCTATGCTGATGATGTGGCCAGCATGTGGAGGAGTGAAACCCCTTTGCCAAACCCCTACAAAAAACTCTAAACTGGTGTCTTTTTATAAATCATGACCACAGCCCATCCCATTCCAGGGGGAACATGGCAAGCCTTCCTGTAAGGCAGCTGCTTCATTCCATTCCCTGTGTCGGGAGCGTCCCRGGAGCTCGCTGGCGTAAAGGGGGCAGTTGGGTGTGTGGTGCTAACCCGTGTGCATTTCTCTCGTTTCCCTTTCTAGAAGAGATTGAAGTGGACGTTGAAAGCACAGAGTTCTCCCATGGAGAAGTGGACAATATCAGCACAACCAGCATCAGTGACATTGATGATCACAGCAGCTTGCAGAGTATTGGGAGTGACGAGGGTTACTCCAGCGCCAGTGTCAAGCTCTCGTTTGCTTCCTAGAACCAAGTGAGACAACAGTGCAGGGTGAATGATTTCACTGGGGTGATCARACTGGGTCCTAGATGCCAGTATCCTCTTTCAGAATTGACATATTGACAGCTAGGCCTGGAGAGACCTGTATATAAAGCTTTTTGGGTAAAGGAAGCCTCCCCAGAAACCCACATTTGTTCATTTGGTCATGTTACCAATCCCAATTTCTGCTGGCAAAAACTTAGACCAAACACTAGTCCCTTTGAAGTCAGTGAAATCCATTTGTTTCTGTGGGACCTGGATCTAGACCTTAGTGATGAAAACTTTGTTTTGAAATTATTTGAAATTGTTTGAAAGAGGATACTAGAGACTCATCCCTCTCTTTCTATCATAAGATCTGAGAAATGTCAAAATTTCTTACACTGCATTCAGGTTGAACAACCTAATTTAGGCCCTTCYGAAGAGCTTTTGTGGTCCTGAAAGGATTGTATCCTACAGTTTATCACAATCTAATGCTGTCATAATGTACTAGGAAATCTAAAAAGGCTTACGTAGCCTAGGAATAAGTGACGATAATGATTAAGGTCTCATTCTGTGCCCAGAGGGAGAGGGGCAGCAAAGAGAGATGTTCAGGGGAGAATACCATTCAACTCAGCTTTCTGTTGGACATCATTTAAACAGTGAGTACCTCTGAAGCGTGGCTAAAGCGAGAGGTACACACTTGTAATCTACCAGCACATGGTGGGCTGTCGCGCCCGGGGCTGTGCCAGCGCCAGCAGGTCCCCGGTAGATGTGTGCCCCTCGCAGGGACACGGCCAGCTGAGGGCAGAACGAAACCAGCACTCGAGAGGTGACACACCAGACAGTCATGCCCAGATACTGAGCCACTATGACCTTTTTATTTGAAGCGATTTTTTGATAAACATTTGTAAATGTGTTGGGAGGGAAAACACCCCAAGTCTGATGCGTCTTTTTAGACTTGTCCATATGAAACCTTAGATGTCTTTTATATAAATTTATGCCATGAAAAGATCTCTGTTTTGATGAAGCACTTGACCCAATGAAATGCAAAGATGCTTTTTTTTGTCATGCACACAATGGATGAAGGCTGTGCTAGCTGGAAGAGGCCAGGTTTGGTGGGGGTTCCTTCAGTTTTCTTTTTTAGAATCATTCCCTTTGCTGACTTTTGAAGTTCCAGTTCAGTAGTTAACCTAGTTAAGCTCAGCACGTCTCTCATGTTAATGTAACGTTTTGACTGCACGTCCTGTTCCCAAGGGCCTTGCCATCTTATCTGTGCAGGTGCTGTTAAGAGCTGTTATAGCGAATGTTTTCTAATTTTCTCCAAGACAAGCATTCTAACCTGCACTTTGAGGGCTTTGCTTTTTTATTTTTGTCTTTTTAATGGCCAGGATTATTTTGTTTTCCAAGTTTTAAAAACCTTAATAGAGACTTCACCTATGGCATTGTTTGAAACTTTGTATATCCTTAAGTAATTTAATTACCCCTCATTACTAAGAAAAAAAAAAGAGGAAAAAAATTGCTTTATAAAATTCGTAACTTATTGCTGATTTGAATGGGTTGTTAATTTCAGTCCTTTAGATTTTATTTTATTGTTTTAGATAGGGTTGGTAAAAAGAGGTAAAATAAAGTAAAAAAATAAAGACAACCATATTTAGCAGTGCAGTGGAATTGTGTTTAAATGTTAGCATATGGTCCCCATTAAAGTAGCACTTTAACACCATTAAACATTTCTGTATCTGAAATGAGTTGTGTTCTTCCATCTTGGTCATTCCTGTCACTTCAGCCAACTGTTGTTCTTGTGCCCTTCGGTCCTGTGGTGACATCCTGATCCAGTCTCATGTAGRCTTTTGCACTGTGATAAGTTGCTTGTGTTTAAATTTTCTGATATTTCCCCCACTCTCCAAAACATGTCATTCTCTGTAAGAGGCACAACGCACATGCTTGAGTAGAGAAATAATCTTTCCGTGGCTGTAATGAATGATTTCTGTTCAGTTGARGTTTTTTTAAATTAATTTGCTTACTAAGTTTGCATCTGGTTGCAGTTGTTAAATGTGTTTTCACTTGTGTGCATGTAATSCAGTGGCTCAGTCCATCTGTTTTTCTTCTTTCTGGGCGGTTACCTGGCAAGAGCAGGAGTCTGCCACAGAGTGAATTAAGMTCTAGGTTAACAAATGGAGCCTGAGGGCTTTGAAAGAAGAAATGCTGCTTGGATTTATATTGGGGGTCCATGTAACCTCTGGATGACTCAAAGTTTAAAACAGAGTGGTGAAAAGTAGGGAACTTTAGCTCTAGCAGGGCCTTATTTCATTTATCATTTTCATAATATTCATTATTATTCTCCTTGGAAGTATTGGCCACTGGCAGTGCTGGTGCTGAGCAGTTGGAATCCAGTGGGAGTTACTTATTTACGAGCCTTTTTCCATAGTTGTCCCAGCACCTCCTCTTTCCTGTTATTCCTGTTTGTGTTAAATGCCCACTTGGGAAAGCAATACCTCAGCTGCGAAATACTGAAATTCAGGGGGTGGAGAATGGCCATGCTCTCCCAATTAGTATAAAACAGCGACRTGTCTATGGTTGGAATAAATGTGTTTGAAATGTTTTTGTCATGCTCTGGAGCCAGTTTGGTATCTCCTACCTTTTCTAGTATTGTGGTCTCAAAGGGATCCTGGTCTCAAGTGCAAATACAGTGGGGAAAATATCACAGGAGATGAACTTCCATCACCAGCCTCCTGCTTGACTGCTCAGCCAGCAGCAATGGTCCAGCCAGGAGGAGGTTCAGCAAGAAAACAAATTTAGGAGCCTTTCTAATAACCCCAAAGACCTGGGATTGGTTGCCCTGGTGCTGGTGGGTTCTTTGTGCCAGATCCTAGCAGATTTCGGCGAGGGTTTTGATGGTTTCTTTTATGATGGAAACATTTCTCTGGCCTTTCAAAGTTGTCCTGCCCTGCTTTATTTCTGCTTTGTGGACTCTGCTTTTTCTCACCTCACACAACTGTCACCCTCCTCACATCTCCTTTCACTGGTCTGGTCTCTCACATTGCAGTGTTCAAGATGACCAATTTGTAGAGAAGTTTCTGTAATTTTGTGAGAATATGGTGAGTTTTTTCTGTAAAAGCAGAATTGGATACACTTTCCTGAGGCAGCCTTCCCATCCCACATGCACACRCACACACAGCTCCCTCWTAAGCTCATTCTGTCAAGTCYTCCCTCTGTRAATTAGATCCCCAGTGGGTCCYTTTRCTACAGACAAAYCCATTAAAAAGACCATCCAGCATTTTCCTTCTTTTGACACAAGTGTATTATGGAATGTCATCTCGTGTCTGCARACAAGGTGGAGATGACTATCTGGCTGCATTTGTCAYGGTTATCCTRTAGCAAGTTGTCACTTGAAGGTCATTTTAATGTCCGTTCCATTAGCAGCRTGTCAGTGACGAGGGTGGTCTCAGATCTGTCTGTCTCAAGAAATCTGTAGGTAAATAGAAAGAGAGTTTAACTATACAGACTTAACCATTTTCTGTGGTTTGTGATTGTGTTTCCCTTTTATCCATTTGTTTGCTTGTTTGCCACCATCTGTTTGTGGTCTTTGAGCTCCAGCCTTCTGCTTTTCTGCTTTGTTCTCTTGTGCTCACTGTTCCCTGTTGGTTGTGTTGCCCTGTTGGAATGGATGGAACATTTGGCTTCAGTGGAACTGGGATCCATTGGGTGTACTAACTGGAGATCATCATTCTGTTTCCTCCCCACCCAGRATCGTAAGCGTTTCTTGTGGCACGTTTTCTGATACCAACCATGCATCAGTGAAAAGAGAAATCAGGGTCACTTGCTGGAAGAGAAATGTACAAAACAGGACTTCATTGTGAGATTAAGGAGGTGACAATAATGAAAAACTATCTAAAACGGAATAAAGTCCTATTTTTTTTTCCTGGTGCTTTCTCCCATGGACAGATAGCTCGGTGAATGAGAAATTCCGTGACTTGATAGTGACYGAAACTCTTCTGCATCAGCAGTGCAATCTGTGAATTGTCCTATGGGACCCTCGGGGAAGGGGAGTGTGTCCATCTGCCCCTCTGTTCCCCCATCTGCACAAAATACCTAGAAAACACTGATGTGCTGTCACATTTTCTCAAAATGTACCAGCAGATCTGAGTGACATTTGGGAGGATGAACACAGGAGGGTGGTGTCTGCACAGACAATGTTTTCCTTTTACTGAAAGGCAGATTGTTTGATTTGGAATAGTACACCAGCACTGGCCTCTGCTTCTCTGCTCATTTCCTCCTGCAAAAGAGGATTRATCCCTTTAGTTGTTAGGCAGAGGCAGGAACAGGGTGTCTGTGGGTATTGGTAATGTGGCTGTGGTACTCAATATCTGTTATGGAGGGGTTCTCTTTGGGGTGCTGCTAAAACTAAAGTTGTCTCATGGGGAGAGACACCTGCATTGAAGTCCCTTCAAAAATACCAAGGATCAGGAACTGCTGAGCAGCCTTTGGGAGGGGCATGTGTCCTTGGAGGTGTGGGCTCATACAGAGCTGACCAGTTGAGTCTCAGTGCTGCTGGCCTGGCTGGTGCAGGTCAAAGGTGAGAAATGTAATTTGTTTTGGGAAAGATCTTCAACATTAACCATAYTGTAAGAGCTGTGGGTAACAATTTATTTTTAACACGCTGGGAAAAAAAAAAAAATCAGCTGCTTGGTTTGTTGTGCCCAGAGCAAGCTGGTGGGGTGAGCTGGGTAGTTTGGCCTTCAGTAAGTCATCCACCTTCTTGGCTTGCAGGCTGCTGTGCTGCAGACATGTGATGAAGCTTTATTTATTAAAATAAGGCAAGGATACAGCTTCAGCAAGGATTAATTTTGATCTTGAGGGATGTTGCASCAAAGCAGAATAAGCCATGAAGGAATTTAAAGCATTTTATGGTGGTTTTAATACTGTGGTGGCTAGTTATAATGTACATAAACTTAGGTCATGACTTGGGCTACCAGTGCTCTCACTGATGCTCTGTTCAGCTAAGSTTAGGAAATTCTTTCCATTTAATCTCCTTTCAAAAACATGTCTCCAAACAATTCATTGGTTTGGATCTCCTCCTGGAAGGCTTGATGGGGAGATACAAATATGTTCCATGTCTATAGCTTGGGGGGTTTGAACTCTTTACTTTTATAGTAACTTCCCCTGTCATTTCAATGTTTCTAAGTACTGTCTGCCTATAGCAGGATTTGCTGGCACTGGATCAGGTACTTTGTGTGCAAAAGCCCAGTGCAGAGCTTGCATTCTCAGGCTTCTCACTATGTAGACCAGTTAATAAAATTAGGAAATTAATTGTGAACAAAAACCCCAACCAACTAAAACGCCATCAGCCACACTTCGAGTCAACTTGGAATTTGTAATATAAGGAACTCCATGTTTTGGCAATTACCAGCATTGCTTAAGATTTATTTTTATTGCATTMATTTCTCAAGCCACTTTACTAAGGCTGTGTTCCAAGCTAGACTACAATGAACTGGCCCCATCCTGCAGATGAGACAAGAGCATTAGAAAACCTGATGTGCTATAAGGATGGTGGTATAGCCAACACAGCATTTTTGCTAGGGCTTTTTTGTTCATGTAAGTTGTTCTCAAGATGTTTTCACAGATCAGACCACCCCAGGCACAGTGGTCTGTTTCACTTATTCCAGGTAAGGTGTTTCACGAAGAAGCCTATCAAAACTAACTTTCACTGCAGTGCTTCACTGCAGTGCCCAGCAGAAGAGTTACAGCCAAGTTCGTGAGGCAACCCCCATTAAAAGAGGTGACAGTAAATTACTCAAAGGAACGGTGCAAGTTTTGCTGAATTTTTTGAAAGGTTCAGCTAAAGCAAGTCAGGCTGGACTGTGGCTTGCAGGGGAGGCTCACCCATTGTGTTCTGCTGAGTCACTCTATTGCTCTCCAGGACAAGTGAACAAAAAATAAATAGCCCAAGGATGGTCTATTGATTGTATTTATTACATTAAAGATAAGCAGTTGCAGTGCATGCCAGATATGGATTGAGCCTTCTTTTCCAAAGACCATTTTCTGTTGAAAGAACAGGTGGAGTTCAGAATAGGCTTCCTGAAAATTCCWGTTCTGCCTATTTTAGCATGTTTCAGTTTTTACTTCAAAATGCTTTTGGGTAAGTGGAAGGGACACTGTATCACAGCCACCTGTGAAAGACAGCAGGTGACCTTCCTCAGCACTGAGCTGTCAGTGTGGCACGACTGTCACCTATTTAATGTCACTGCTAGAACATTTCTCTGTAGCGGCAGGCTGCAGTACAAACTCCCTTTCTAAAAAGCAGACTATTTCATTCTTRAGAGGTTTTCTATGCAAAAGAAAATGTAACCCCCCTGCTACCAGTGAAGATGAGGAACTAAGCAACACCTTCATCTTGCAGTCGACTGGACCCACTTTTGAGTATTACATTCTGTCCAGCAGATTCTGTACTCGCCCATTCTGATGCTTTACTGTCATCCTCCCCCCCAAGAATAACTCCACCAAATATATCCAGCAGATTTTAAACACTTTATTTAATAAAAGTTAAACATACAAAACTGAAATTAACACACTTTGTATTCATAAAAATCACTTTCTCCCATTATAGGGAGAACCTTTTTYTGTGTATGGATTCTAAACTACCGCTTGTAGAGTTTAGCTTGAGTTGTGACTCAGGTAACTGATGGACATTTCCACCAATCAGTGCATCAACAATTGCTGACGTGACCTGATCTAGTTAACAAATTACAAAATGAGCTACATTAACATAATATACAGGGAAATAATGGTCAGGGTTAATGGACAAGACACACATTTTATTTAATGGGGGAAATAGCTGATGTACTCTTGTCCATTAACTCAGCCCTAGATTTTACAAAAATAATATCTACATTGTATACAGGGCTACCCATTAACTTCTTTACACACATTACGGGTTCAGAGGTGGCATCACTACCGTAAGTGCAAGACAAGTAACAGAGGAAAGCAAATCACAGAGAGAGTACAAAAAAGCAAGAGCTTTTACACCGGGATTCCTGAATAAAATTGAAAGGGCTCAGCAGCACTGTAATACAGCTGAAGGTACAATGGACACTAGGGCCAGTCAGTTATGTAAGACAGAAACTCCCAACCTTTACTCAAACTAAGTGGGATCTACGCATTTGTATCTGCTGTGCCTTGGTTCTCCTTGTCTGGATGGGGGCCCAGGCACAGGCTGTCTCTGCTGTGACTGTACCAACAGGGCTGTGACTGTTCCAACACACAAGATCTACAAGGCAGGAGAGGACAGCTCCTTTCCACAGCACAACCAGTTACACTCCAGCTCTGATCCCTGGGGAAGGGTGGAGATTTTTAAGTACAGTTCCTTGTCCTATGGTTTTCTGGTTACATTTCATTAACTTCCTATTATAATTYGATGAGTACTTTTAACACAAACAAAAACAACAAGAAACAGCATCTCCTCTGCTTAACTTCAAGCGCAAGAAATTTGGACTGGAATTAAGTAAAATTTATTGTTTCTAGAATGTAAGTGGTCATTAGAAAAAAGATCCTATCAGCTATGTTCTGCCCTCATTTACAGCTGTACAAACTGATCTTCAGTAGATTGGTAAGGGGGTTATTTAAACATCCTTACCAATTCCATGTGACATATAAGCTCTGTCCCAGAGCTGCAGCAGCATTGTAATGCTGAGTATGTCAGACTGCATCGTGACTACGAAAACCAGGGAGGCTCTTAAAGATGCCATTTTTTTACCACCACTTTTCTTAAAGGAAAAAAAAAAACCTTCATGACTGATGAAAGAGAGATTCAAAGCTGCAGACAAATACTGCTTTCAAAGTAACAGGCAGCAGCAGTTCATGAACACTTACCTGCTACAAAACGTTTAATGGTTGGGAGGGTTCAAATCAACAGCTGGAGATTTAAGGCTCATATCAGCTGAAGCCAAAGTGATGGTGACAAAATGGACTACTCACTATGTGCCAACAAATAATTTACTTTTAGAAAAATATAATGATAAAAAGATAAGTGTAAAGCCCTGCAGAGATGAAGTTCYACCTTTTTTCACCTGTTACTGAGGCATCAAATGCCTGACGTTATATTTAGAGGTATCTTGATACTGTGTCATAGGTTTGTCTGCAATTCCACATGTTCCAACGCCAACCTTGCCAGTTACACTCTCAGGGGAAGCAAAAATACTCCTCTTCACCTGGAAATAAAAAACACCATTTCTGAATTAAATACTGGATAAGATTTTACAAAAAAAAAACAAAAAACCAAGCAATCATTACCATCTAAATGCTTCAACATTGTCATTTAGCAACATGTCACAGCTGAGCTGGGCTTTAGGAAGTGTGAGGCAATGGGGCTGGGAAGTTCCTGGCACCTCAGCACTGGATGTTATTGTCCTACTGAGGATCTCAAGTCAGGCCAATAATGAATAAAATTCACCTCTCACAAGGTGGTCTCTAATAGCTGCTCATAAGGAAGACTGAAGTTTTACCACCGATGTCTCTTGGTCAAAGCATGATAGAAATGGAGTAAAGACTTAATGTCCTCACTAACTTTTTTGCACTACACCTGCTGTTCCAGGGCACATCCTCAGTACTGTGCCTGCTGGGTCACAAACACAGCAAGAAGCCAGACTTGGAGATTTAGAGGGCCCCTCAGGTTCTTGGCTCCACCAAACATCACCTGGCAACTGATTAAAGCCCAGCTCTCCCAGCCAAGTGCAAGCTCAGCTTCTTAGGAGCAGCACTCCTCCAAAATAATCCAGTTAAAAACCAGGCATTTGAAGTGTACAAAAGACAAAACTGGACACTTACGAATCCTAAACACACCCAAATGCCCCTGTTACATCCCTTTAAAAACTACCTCCTCCTTTCTCCCAAGGCACCATACAGAAGTCTATGCCCTGTTGTATGTATGTAACTCACATACTGACAAGAAGAAACAAACCTGGCCTTTTTTGTTTTTAGAATAGGCTCTGTTGTTAAATTGTTGCCATTTGACTTTCTGGTCCTCTCGTTCCTGTTCAAGTTCTTTAATTCTCTGAGCTTTTTTCAAAGCTTTCTTCTTTTTATACTCYCGTTGCTGGGCTATCATCTCTTTTCTGGAGAAAAGGGAAAAAACAAGAAACAAACCCCACATTTTATGTTTGTACCTTTTCCTGTAACAAACTAAAATCACATTAGTTTTCCAGAAGTAAATGACAGAAATAAATAATGTATTTGTACATATTCACCAGCTTGTAAATATTCACCACTTTTAGGAGGAAAAAAAATCCCCAAAACCCAATCTTCCCATACAAGCATTACCTTACTTGTTTATATATTTGGCATGACAACAACCATCACCACACCTGAGAAGCCCATGCTAAACACAGCAAACCATGTGCAATTCATTTCTGAAACTGCAAAGGGACTTAGCAACATTTGTACATTTCAGATACATCTTGGGTTTGGCAAAGGTAAATAGCCCATTGGAGGGAAAAGCCCAAAGTTTTCTGGAGGTCAGYAGGACTCTCCCTGAACTTCCTTATGTTCGCTGAAGTAATCTTTGTCCTTTTCCTTCCATCCCTTTCCTGGTAGCATCAATCTCCGCCACAATAAAGTGCCCTCAGAACAACCTTTTAGGGAAGGGATCATTGGTAATAATAAACTCTGAAATTGTACCACCTGTTTTTTTCTATGTTAAAAAAAAAGAAGTTTCCAGCCCTTACAAGTACCTTCCTGTGTTAGACACAGCTGGACACCAAGTAAATGTAAATTTAAAACAAAACCCAAAAAACTACCTATTTCAYTAGCCAATTTTTATAGCTGAYGGGAAAAAAGAAAGAACAACCAACCCAAAAAAMCTCACCAAGCAGCATTCAGATTTCTGTGTATTACTTACTTGGACATGGGTTTGTTGCCACTGTCCTCTTTTGCTTTTCTTCCCTCTTCCACAGGCTTGAGGTTGAACAGAGGTGTGACTTCAGCATTGCCATATCCAGCAAATGTAACCGCAGCTGTTCCATTCTCCTCATCTATTTCTTCAATCTCAGCCTCGTAACACCTGTAAAGATATCATGGCTGTAAGCATGTGAGTAAAGCTTTAATACTCAGCCCTTCAACACCTATATCAGCCAGCTAATGCCACTAAGTGAATAATTTGCAAATACCAGCCTTCATTTTCAGGGGCACAAATCAAACCAAGRGATTATTGTCTTAAGGTCAAAGGGACACAGGTACAAAGACTGGAATCTGCTGTATTTGACCTTCAGCTTCAAGAAGCAATGCCCTCACTGCAATCACAACTAATGATTAATGCTGGGGCCAATCTAATCAGCTATCCTGATTTGGTTTTAGTTCGGGCAGGTCATGGGATAGAAAAAAAAAAATACTGCATTCACAGAACAGTTTCCTTGGAATTCATTGAGTACTTTTAGAAAACRTCAGGTCAGAAGCACAAAGCTTTGGGTCCATTTTTCTCCATAGGAAAAAGAATTAAGAAAAACTGAAGCCTTCAAAAACACTCCCTCTTCAAAACTTTAAAACTTAAAATGTTTTCTTACTGATTTAAAACAGGAATTTTGRAATTTTCACAGAAATCAGTCCATGTCATATTTATGTGTATGAAACATTTTGGTCACACATATATCAAAATGGGAAAAAAGAAAAGAAGACAAGTGACATTTCCAAAAATATTTAAAATAATTGTGTCTAAATTCAGGGCAAAAGAATTCATCTAGAGCAAACAGAGGAAAAATTGAAATGTTTCACAGACAATATTGCAATTAACATTTACTAAATTTCTTGTGTGTTTTCAGTGGGCCAACATCTTGAGCCGAGTTAGGTGAAAACACATGAAAACCCAAAAGTCTGGATAGCTCTTTACAAAACGCTGCTCACTTAAGAAAAGCTGCAACAGAAGCAGGATTTTCAAAATAAAGCAAACAAGTCCAATAAAATGTACTTCAGTGGACACTTTGGCACACTCTTCCCCAAGCTCTGATCCTCTAACCCAGAGATCAGAGCAAGAATGACCCAATGGTGACTAAAGACTAAGAGATTCAATTTTTAAGTTCTAACACAAAAACGTTTTACTCATGAATAAACAGAAGAACTGTTCACTCCTAGGTTAATTTTCTACTTAAGACATCAAYAGCTACACCAAAATCTTCATGTGATTACTACATTGTTAAGAGAAGCACATTCACTGAATAACAGAGCTTCTCTCWAAGTGATAACAACTGGGATTTTAGTCTTGGATAAACAGTTATTTTTTATAAAGCTGCAACAGTTACACATTTGCAGTATGAAAAGTAACTTTAGAATGTTTACTTTAAAGTATATGAAGTCAGAATAATCTGYTTGGATTCCCAGAACTACACAAGCTAATATATAGGAGACCAAACCCAAAATGTTGATTAATTCTATAGTTACATTACACAGTTGGTTATTTTATAGGCAAATACTGCATTTTTGATTAAAAATTTACCTCATTTTCAATTAGAGGCCTAAACTGAGATACAGCAAGGATTTTTCTTCACAGAAATCAGTGATACATATATATACAAATGCACTGACAAATTATGAACAACACATCCCAAAAGCTTTACAAAAAACTRCCCTGACAGATCAATTCTTCCAATCTGCTATTTATTACATCAGCAAATGGTAATTTACAAAGCCACCCTACTTTTGTAAGGATAGTGACAAAAAGGGCATTTTTATAAAATAACCCCCCATCTCTTTGCTACTTCAAATACCGACCTTTAATAAACAGCACAAGAATACATAATACATTTATTTCCTAGTTTCTTTTTGCTTTTAGTCACCCTAGTTCAATTCAAACTGAATGAAAATCTCTTACCATTGAACTATTTCATGTAACTGTTAGAGAAGTTTTCTACACTTACTGTCCATCCTCACTCCATATGGCCATACACCTATCCCCAACCTTCCATGAGTGACTGGGCAGGGCGGACGCAGAACTGTCAGAACTTGCAAGAGTTTCCGAAGGTTGTGTTGAAAGGAGATCTTTGGTTAACTCTATGACTTCCTATAAAAGACAAAAAGCCCACAAAGAATAATTTTTCAAATTCCTCTTACCAAGCCTATCTTTAACCCCAAGCTTACTGATTTGGTTTTTTTTAAAGTTACTGTATTAAATTCATAGCTGACATGTGAATTACACTTACTTYGGCTTTCTAATAATTTAATTAAACTCATTAATTGCAATTGTAGATAAAAACATGTATGGTACTCATTATATTGCTGTAAAGCTGCCCATGCCCCCCTCAAATATTCAAAAAGTAGCCTATTATTTTTTACAGCATTTCTCTCATTGGCTGAACTACAGCATCCAGAGCCAGGGTGGTAGAGCACCCTCCAAGCTGTGAAGCCCTCTAATTTTATCAGAAAGCATCCAGGTACACACTAAAGAAATTTGTTTCCTTAAGTAATTTTGATAGAAATGTCCATTCCTATCTAAATTCCCCGACCTTGGGATTTCAGGTCAGGCATTCCCTTGCTAATCCAAGATAACAATRTAAAAAACTTTCCCAGTTCCTTTACACATTGTTAATTTCCAGGCAGGAGCATGCAAAAGCCTCTCCCAATATGCTGTAAATATTACATTAAAGAGTAAGCAATCAAGACCTCTCTTTTTCACTGGTGTTAAAACTCAAAGGAGACAGCACCTAAAGGGCCATATAAACTTTCTGTATTATGCAAAGAAACTTTGCAGGCCCTAAGGAAGAAGAATTCTTCAGTTCTTTGAGTACCTCAGCATGATCCATTGTGACTCTCCTAACAAATAGTAAACGTTTAAATTAGGGGACAGTTACAGAAAAGTGTTCAAGTGAGGCTCAGTGGAGCCTGAACTTTACTCCTGGTTTCACATATTACTTCAGCTATGGGCATACAAAGACACAGGAAAATGCAATAAAGGAGCTGTTCATTCCTTAAGAACCTAAAGGATTTTAAGCACTTCCCAAATAAGTTAATACAATACAAATTTACATGCATTTTTATCTGATGAACTATACAACTAGCATCAATGGTCTAACAGTTTGTTTCTGTTGCAGCATGTTAATGTCTGAATTTCCAACTAATAAAGTTTTGCTCTTTGCTTTGGAGGAGCTGCTGGTTAGTAAGTAGTCCAGCGAGCATAATCTGTAGCAACTATGAGCAGAGAAACACAATTACTTCTACTACTTAGCTCACCATTTTCCTAATACCACAGCTGAAGCACAACAGATTTTGATTATCAAGTTACATAATTTGAGAACATACAGCATTAGCCTAATTTTGCCTCCCAGGTGCAAAATCCCAAACTATTCCTCAATATACAGGTAGCTGTATTCTGCAAATCCAAGAGGCATCATCGTTTGAGACAAGTATCTCTCTCAGCAGGTCAAACAAATCACATCAGGCACAAGCCACTCCTGAAAACAGGTGTTTCAGGTATTGCAACTACCAATAACACCAAACTGTTGACTAATTCTTGCCACACTCAGAGATGGCTTATTGTAGAACTTGGATATGAATAGTTTCAAACAAGTTTACCAAGAATCTTCTGAATTTAATAAAAGCCAGGCTATTAAAATACTAAACTTTTGGTAAAAATCTTCATCTGATATCCACATACCACAATGCTCAGCTCACAAGATAGAGACATTAATTCTATTACAAGCCATGAGACAGTTTTCAAGTTTTTTGAAAACTTCAAGAGAACAAACTATTCCAAGAAAATTTCTGAGCAGGACTTGGACTACWACAGCAGCTCAGTACAGGTTGAACAACATGGCTTGGTGCCACATCCCCAAGATATGGAGGTGTGACCCACAGAGAATATGACTTAAAGRGTTTGCCAAGATTTTTCCTGACCAACTGGTCTTTACAAAGCCAGACAGAGCTGTACACTCCAGAGCATGACACCCATGGATCTCACTTCAAATTACAAAAAGATGACAGCTGCCATCAATCCTACTTGATAAAAAAGGTAAGTTTGGTTCTTGGGTGCACAGATATTGTCCTAGAAACACTTTGGTGAACCAAAAAGTAAAAAGCTAAGTACTTTGAACAATTTCTTCTAATATTTAATCTTGTTACTCAAGAATAATACCAGGCATACAAGATGCATCAGTATTTATAATAGGAAAAAGATGTTTCAATTACATAGTAACCATCTTTTGGAACAGACAAAAAAGCTRTTTAGTTGGGACACTGACGCATCAAACCCATTTTTACAACTGTCTGCTTAGTTGGCATATATCAAGTCTGCAAAACATTATGTCATTTTCAAGGTGGAACATATGGATAGCAAACCTTTTGGGGACGAAAGTGTAAAGATCTTCCCCATTCTGTGCAGAAAGCTTTTATTAAAAAGTTTGCAAGTTGTCCTTTCACATCAATGATCTCTGCATATCAAAGCCGAGGTCGTGTTGGTATCGGAAATATCATCCCATATGGGTTTTGCTGTGCATTTTAAAAATATAAAAATATACACATGCTTTTAACAGTGTACAACAGAGCACATTCAGATGATCTATAAAGTGCCTTGTGGGCACAAAGCCTTTGCAGTTCAAAAGGAATTCTAAAGATCACTGTTTGGAGGCACTACCTGTGTATTGGTGGAAGCCCCATTTTATTGCTGTTATTTCCATACAGAGCAGTGGTCACTGAACCTTGCACTGGGTAGTTTTATAGATTTTTACACCTGATGGCTAAAGCAATCCACAACAGAAATGAAGCAGTATCTTGCACTCTCATGACAAATTTTAACAGCACTGCTGGGATTTTCTATATGCCAATGTGTCTTTATATGCACAAGAATCGAAAAGACCACTCATCCATTTAAAATTAGGCTGGTGGCCTTCCTGTCACTAAACCACACCCCAAGGACCAGAAATGGGTTTTAGCTGTTAGGAACACACAATGCTCTCGTGACAAATGAAAAACACAACTCTTTTCCTTTCTCATACAGAAACACAATCAAGACTCATATGCACAAGGAATACAGAACTACACTCCAAAACTTTTAAAACTGCAAATGGATTTAATGAGTAAGCAGGTTTGGATCAAGTTATTTGAGAACTCAGTAAGAACATTATGTTAAGCCAAACCATCAGGCTTCAGCATTAGTAAAAGCAACAAAAAATAATGGCTTTAAGAAATGCTTCAGGGGGAAAAAAAACTTAAAAACCAACACATAGTAAAGACAGCACTGGCATATCTTTCACCTCTCTGGCCAAAGTTTATAATAAAAGAGTTTGCTGTATAAACTAATGCTTTTAGTAAAAAGTAATAATCTTTTTCACTCATCCAAAAAGACAGATTTAAAATAAGCCACACTTTGGGTTTTTCCAAACTAAGCCTGCAATGACTACATCAAGCTATGTGAAATGAAAGTAACCAACCCACCAAGTATCKATTTTTCTTGCAGGACAAACATAAGTTAAAACACTTGTAAAAGAACCCGAAGTTTCACCTGCCCTCAAGTTCTCACCTGYAAGTCTTTCTTCAGTTTCAGTAAATCCTCATTGTCTGCATTCCCAGATAAGGCAGCCTCGACTTGCTGGAGCTGAGCTTTGTAGCTGGCCAACTGCTTAGCAAGGTCTTCTGACATCTGCAAGGAACACACAAACACACAAACCACACATCAAAACAACAGCTTTGCTGCTTTTTAATCACGCCGTGTGGTTCAAGTAAGGTGAAATAACAACAAAAATAGCTGTTACTAACATGTTAGCAACACAGCTCATTAAGTTTCAGTAATAAGTACTTGTCCAGTAATTTGACTATAGATATTCCCTCATTTAATTTTTGTACAGTTCCAGCTAATCTCAAGAGACTTCTGAAGAAAAGAAGGCTTGAACATTTGCTATATACGGGGTACAAACACAGCTTACAGCGTGTGTGAGCAGCGGGGCCTTGAGCAAGCCTCCCAACTCCCCGGCTCTTTAGAAAATGCAAGCACGTCCCCGGCAAACCCGGGCGGACCGCGGTGTGCCCTCCGGCTGCCGCACGCAGCGGGCCTCAGCACCGCCATCCTCTGCGGCACCCGGGAACCGGCCTCTCCCGGGGCTCCCGGTGGGCTCCGGGCGGCCAGAGCAGCGCGGGAGAGGAGACGGGCCTGGGAAGCGCCCGCGCCCGCGAGTAGGCCCAGTCCACGCCCAGGCCCAAGCTCAGGCCTAGGCCCAAGCCCGGGCCCAGRGTCGCTCAGAGCTAGGAGCGGCTCAGCCCGCGGGGCCGACAGGGCCCATGCGGCGGTCTCACCTCGGCGATGCGGGGTGCGGGCCGTGCCCGGGCCGGGGGCGCCGCTCCGGGTCCCGTCAGGCCGCGGCCTCTTCGCTCCGCTCCTTCCGCCGCCGCAGCCGGAGGGGTGGGGGGGGCGAGAGGGGGCGGGGCCTCGGCCGGCGCGCGCCGGCGCTCGCGAGAGCGGTCACGTGTGCTAGCGGCGGCTAGCGAGCGCGTCACGCGGCCTGCGGGTCACGTGCCAGGGCTCCCCGCCCACCGGCCGTGAGGGGCGGAGCCGCGGCTGAGGGGCCGGGCCGGAGCCGGAGAAGGTGCGGCTCCATCGCTCCAATGCCCGCCCCGTGTGGGGAAAGGGGCGGCCGCTGAGGGGCCGGGCCGGAGCCGGAGAAGGTGCGGCTCCATCGCTCCAATGCCCGCCCCGTGTGGGGAAAGGGGCGGCCGCTGAGGGGCCGGGCCGGAGCCGGAGAAGGTGCGGCTCCATCGCTCCAATGCCCGCCCCGTGTGGGGAAAGGGGCGGCCGCTGAGGGGCCGGGCCGAGCCGGGGAAGGTGCGGCTCCATCGCTCCAATGCCCGCCCCGTGTGAGGAAAGGGGCGGCCGCAGCAGCAGGAGCTCGTCCTTGGCCAGACGGCTTCGCTTCGGCTCCGCGGAACGGGAATTGCTGTAGAGGACCGCAGGTTCCTGAGCCTGCCTGGACCCCGGGGATTTGCTCACTCGCAGCTTTGTCCTGACGGTATCAAACACACCAACACCCTGTGGCTACTTACATGATCATCAGATCCATGCAAAACTTRTTACCAAAGAGTTTAAGTTTCGATACTTGTTTCTGCAATAGGAGTGGCAACCGAGGCGGAAAGCTCAGTGGCTTCTTCAAGCCTGTCACGGGAAGAAAAATATATTTCTGGTGGAAATCCAGTGATTAATTTGAGTGTGAGTCTGTCAGCCACGCAAATTAGTCAGATGCCCCAAARTTTTCCTCATATTAGCAGGAGGATCAGTGTCTCCTGCAAACATCCTGTCCCTCATGCTCACAGGCACATGGTGCTGCACAGGAAACTGACTTCACTCACTGGATTTGTTTATGTATTACAAGGAAAATATATCTACYGTGTTCTATGACACTTGGTTTATGTCCTCAGAGGATATCCTGACACGGAATGAAACACATTTCTGTAACTTGGTGTATGATTTGATAGTTAAAATGCAAAAATTACTGGACACTGTTCAGAGACTGATTGATGAGACAAGTGTAACAATGAAAATAAGCAACAGCATCTTCATAGTATTTTCATTWTTGTGCAATAATAAACTAGAAATAGTAAAGAAAACATTTTCTCATAAGACTTTGCAGATAGATTAGTGGCTGTTGAAATACATACAAATTTATCAATACAGAGCAATCTTAACGACTTTGTGAGCTAACAGTTTAACTAAACAGTTAAAATGGACATTAGTACAACCCATTTCAACTTTGCATTTGAAGACAAGAAATCTATGCTGTATCTAGGACTGAAGTGACAGAGAGGGACTGAGAAGGCATCCACTGTCCAGGTATCTCCAAAGGCAGCAACAGCAAAATGGAGAACACTTCTGGGGTTGCATCACCAGGGGCAAGCATAAGAGGTATTTTATTTCTATAAAAAGTTTGGTGAGAGTTGCTATTGAGATACTTTTACAGTTCTAGAGCATGGAGTTCTGCAGGGTATGCAGATATCTAAAAAGAGCCACCAACATTATAAGCTGTATGTGCTATATATAGGAAGGCAAGCCAGATCTTGAAACCACTGATCTTTAACTCCTACAAATTGAAAATTCTGCTTAATTTCACCCTTAAAACTGGATTTATCTTCACCCAAAAATAGACATTATTTTTCTATGTTTGACTAGAAAAGCTCTTATATAGAGGAAAAAACATGTAAGGAGGATGTCTTCCTGCTATCTTTCAGAYTACACTTTTTTAAAAACATATTTTATAGTTCATTAAATGGTTGGTGCTCGGAGGGATACGTACATAGTAGCACATTCGCACTACTCCTAGCAATATATATAACTTAGCAACAGAAAGAAAAGAAAACTCACTTGGCATTTACCAAACTCTGTTGCCATTAGCACTAGGGTTTTCAGCTGTGATTCTGAGGCTATAGCTGCYCAGCTGACCCGACTGCACCTGCGGAGCAACGAGGGAAAGCTGCTGCAGCTGGAGCTTTTGTGGCCGTGCTGGCTCTGCGGGAGCGGCAGCAGGGCGGAGCAGGGAATGGCACAGCTGCTGGGAAGGTGAGGTTTCCAGTTAACCGGGATAGCTGGGCATGCCTTTTCGCTCACTAAGGGGCTGCTTGCCTTTAAGGCAAACCGATCCGCAGTTGGAGGAGGCGCTGGCGCATGCTGCGGCCACGCTTGGCTTGTCCAGGAGGTGGTAGTGGTGCTGCGCAAGACGYCTGCATCGCCAGCCGTCTTTAACTAGCACCTCGGGAAACAGCTCTGTTAACAGGTCGACAATTTTGCCTCTTTTCTACAGTCTGCTGCGTGATTTTTATGGCTAGATAATGGGAACATATATAGGAAGTTGTTTTTGAAAGTAACTAGAAACATGGGTGTGCTTTGGTAAGCACACTTAAAGCCACGACATTTTGCATTCCTAAATGTTAAATCCTGAAGCAGTTGAGGGTCAGAGACCCGAATGCTAAACAGCAACCAATGCTGTGAAGATGTTATGATGTCCGAATTGTTTAATATCCTGTTTTTCAGCTTTGTATGGGTGTATTGTTTRGCTCAGCACAGAGACATAACCACTAGCAAAAAATTGGCTTCCGCAAACAAACCAGTCTGTCCTCATGACAGAAATTGCAACCCAAGTCCAGTCCAGAATGGATCATTTTACGCCTTTTTCTGGTAGGCTGCCTGCATAGCAGGCATTGCCCTGGCAGTGGGGCAGTATGTCAGTCTTGAAAGTTATTGGTATATTAATATGGATTAAGAAAATACTGTACTAATATTTCAATTTTTAGGGTTTCCTATTTTCTTCCACTTCCTGAAGATGCAGGGAATTTTTTTTCAGTTGTTCCTGTGCCTCCAAGCAAAATTTGCTTTATCTTAGATTTGGGTTTTTGTTGTTTTTTTTTTTTTACCATTTGTTGTTATAAGCAGAATTGTCAACTTTGGCCATAGATACAATTATGCAATATTTCCCATTATGAGGCATTTTGTTGTTGTTGTTCCTGCAAAATTTATTTCTACAGTCTGATTTTGACTGCAGAAATGCACTGAGTCTGGCTGAACTTAACAGTTCAGCAGTTTGGCACTTACAAATTCAAGTTACAGAAAGAAATGTTGCTTGCCCAGGCACTGTTGAGAGGTTCAAATGCCTCTTTGCCTTAAAGCATGAGCTTTAAGGAAGTTCTGTGTGTTTAAGGTTTCCACTTTTTGCTGTTCTACTCTCCTGAAATTTGGCCTAATTGTCAGGTTTTGCAATCCCTGCTTACACAGAAGTTTGTGTGGAAGTGAGGTCAGRTAGGTGGGTTATGTGCGCATTCCTGAACATGATTTCACTCTCTGCAGCCCAGGTAATCAGTGCAAATTGTGGTGCTAAGCAAAGAAATCGAGAGTTTAAACATGTTCTCTCCTCTGAATGATTGAAAAAATTGCGTTCCAAGGTGCAAAAGGCACAGTGACTAAAACTGAGGGGGAAAAGTGAATCAGAACTTGATGAGGAATAAAGATCCAGGGTGGGGCAGCATGGGGATAAGGAAAAAATGTCAGAATTAGGAAAAATGGACTGAAAACTTGCATCTTTTATGACATCATCCATTTCAGAAGGATCTGAGGCTCTTGGATTTCCATTCCCTTGCAACTGACAGTTTGTGAGAATGCCACCTTATGTGGGAAATGACAACCTGCCAGTGTGATTGTTAACTGGCACAAGCATCAGGTCCATTTGCTGGGTCTTGATCAGTCCTACACAACACAGTCTGTCAGATGGGATTTGCAGCTTCGTGAGCCTTCGGTGGGGAGCAATATTCCAAGTCAAGGTGCGACTTCTTTCTCTGAGGCGCTCTGCCATCTGCGTCAGGGAGCGTGTCAGCCCTGGGCACTGCCGGGGAAGGCAGCTGGATATGCTGGTTCTTCTTCTGAGAGTTGCCAGGAATTGTGCTCCTGAGACTCCTTACATTCAGAAGGTGCTTGAGTGGCAGGAATGCTGAGAAGACAAGGGAAGTTTGGGAAGGGAGCAAGGGCCATTGCAGTGGGTACCGGAGCCTGGGAGGATTGGGAGAGGAGTTGAAGCAGCAAGCCAGCAGTGTGGGAGGTTTGGGAAGCAGGAACTTGAGGTTAATATGGGAACAGCGTGGGGGTATTTTSTGTTTGTGTGTAGGGAGGGACCTGGGAAGTAAGGAACAAGACAGACTGCTGTGATGGATTGTGGGGTTGATGTGGGGGAGAGGAGACTGAAGTCCTGGATAGTGGGGGTAGACAAACAGGAGGGTATTGTATACATAGGGAGAGGACAGCTTGTGATGAGCACATGAAAGGAGAGGGAAGGGGATAGCAGAGTSATSACTCTGCTATCACAGAGCAGTGATGACTCTGTGTGCTTTCCCCAGGACAGGGTATCTGCCAGCTGTGTGCTACACACTGGGTTTGTGTCTGCCGGTCAGCAGACCCTACCACGAGCTGTGTGGCCTCTGGGTGCTGTTCTGCTGTGTCCCACAGCTTCAGCTCAGTGCCAGCGGTCAGTCTTTGGTGGTCCACCCTCACGGGAGCTGCACACTCCTGGTCTAAACACTCTGTTCTGAACACAGGGTTTACAGTAACCAAGAATGTGCAGTTAAAAATAGGCAGTGGCTTGTGGGTCCTGTATTGGCTCTTTGCTGAATTTTTAAGGAAAGTGAGCTGAAAGAAGAGAGCCTTGCAAGAAGGCTGCTGAATAGCCCTGTAAAGGTCTGGGTTTATTCTCCTGTGTAGGAGTATCTACATATTGTGAGTGATGTACATCTGTGTATAGAATAAAAGCTCAGAGTGTAAACTTAGAGCTGATTGCCCTATGGGACTTGTAGTTGAGAACCAATACCAATATAAACAACATGTACAATTTACATAAAATACAAAATTTGTGCATCACTGTTCCAAACTTTTCCATTCTTCAGTCTACTGACAGACTTTC